ACTCATCAAAACAGAAGTGTGCAAATAAGGCTGGCTTTATGGGTGTGTGACCTGTACAGTTGTACAGGCCACATACTGAATAAAGACCTGTGCTTAGTTTAATTTTTGCTATTGACTTCTAGGAATTCTTAATAATTTTTAAATAAGGGACCCCACATTTTTCTTTCTTTCTTTCTTTCTTTCTTTCTTTCTTTCTTTCTTTCTTTCCTTTCTTTTTTTTTTTTTTTAAGATTTTACTCATTTATTCATGAGAGGCAGAGACATAGGCAGAGGAAGACGCAGGCTCTTTGCAGGGAGCCCGAAGTGGGACTTGATCCTGAGATCAAGGGATCAAGGGACTCAAGATCCCAGGGACTTGACCTGGGATCATGCCCTGAGCTGAAGGCAGACGCTCAACCACTGAGCCACCTAGGCATTCCAAGGGCCCCACATTTTCATTTTGCACAGGGCCCTTAGTTTAGGTAGCTGGTCCAGCCTGCAGCTAACTACACCTGCAATTCTTATAGCCGTTTAGCACACTCCTTAGGAGTTTTATATGGCCAGGTTGTTGTAGATGGAGACTCTGTGGGCCTACTCCAGAACTACTGAATTAGAATCTGTATTTTAAAAGTTCTCCTGGCAATTTAATGCTCATTAAAGTCTGAGAAGTGTTCCTTGAGTGCCCCTCCTCCCCTATATGTGCTGATAGTAAAGCTAACCCCTCAGCTCCTCTGGTGGGCATGTGACTTGGCATGGCCAATAAGAGCATTGCATTCCTGTGCAATAGTGATTGGTTTAATTTTTTTTAAATTTTTAGTTATTTATGATAGTCACACGAGAGAGAGGCAGAGACACAGGCAGAGGGAGAAGCAGGCTCCATGCACCGGGAGCCCGACATGGGATTCGATCCCGGGTCTCCAGGATCGCGCACCGGGCCAAAGGCAGGCGCCAAACCGCTGTGCCACCCAGGGATCCCTAGTGATTGGTTTAGAGATACACACGTGATGCATGTAATGCCAAACACACTATTGGAATTTATGTAGGAACTACTCAGCTGAGACCATCTCTTTTCCCCTGGGGCTGCTAGCAGTAAGAGTGACCTGAGTCTGGAGTTGTTGTGGCTACTGCATGAAGCCTAAAAATAAAACCAACATTATGGAAAGACAAGCTAAGAGATTGGGAGAAACTGAGACTTGATGCTATTGCCTTAGCACCTGGGTCAGAGTGTACTTGAAGTTAAATCTACCCCTGAACTTTTGAGTTACTTGATCCAATAAATTTCCATTTTCATTTAAGTTCGATTGAGTCAGGTTTTCTACTCTTTAGTACCCAAAGAGACCTGATGGATAAACTCCTGTTCATTTCTACATAAGGTGACTCTCAGAAATAGATAAATATGTTTCACTGTAATCATATGTGCACATCAGTATAGGTGCACTTTTTGCTTGAACTATCCAGTTTGGTTATCAAGTTACAGAAATTCAGTGGATAATTACCAAATTTCCCCTTCATTTTACGTTAAGTGATACCAGTCCTGGATCAAAAATATTTTTTCTTTGCTTGTGTTTTTCTGCTATTTCAAAACATGCCTTTCAGTTGTAGTTATGAATGAATTACCAGTCAATTTTAATGTGTAAATAACGTGTTTTCTTTTGGGCTGTAACTTCCTTGGGCAGGAAGGACAAGCAGAAATTGGACATTTCTCCAATGCCTGCCCTTCCCCTCACACCCTTATTCTTTTTGACCTTTAATTGTTGCTTAAGTTCTATTATCTTAAGGAAATGATTAACCAACCTTTTTTCTTTAATACAATATCAGAGGTTTTTTTCCTTCAAAACTTGCCAAACTAAGTTTTATTTATTTCTGACTACCTGGTAGGTAGCTCAATGCCTTGCATAAAGTATTTTCTCAATATGTGTTTACTGAATTCTGTTAAATTATGTCTACACACACTCATAAGCAGGCTAAAGTTGATAATGTTTGTTAAGGTAACAAATCTAACTTTGAATATAGATCATTAGACCTAGAAGAGACTGAGAGATTCTTTAGCTGAACCCTTTTATTACACTCTCTGTTTCTCCCTCTGTATCTCCCTTCCTTCCTCCTTTCCTCTCTCTTTCCCTTTTCCTCCCTGCCTGCCTTCTGTCTGTCTTTTAGGAATAAAACGTTATAGATACAACTAAAGCCTGCCCTACTCTTCTCTCTCTTTCTGCCCTCCCCTCTAGGTAAGTTGTATGGTGAAGTTGGTGTGTATCAACCCAGTGTATGATTTATACTTTTATGGTGTATTTTAATGTCTGAAAAATTTTATAAATGGAATCATATTAATGTATCCTTTTGCAGTGTGCTTTTTTCCCCCACTCATTCTTATATTCTTGAATTTATCCCCATTGATAGATGTGGATTAGCTCTAGAACAAGCTTGTACATGAGCACAAGGAAGCATGTATATAGCTGCTCATTGTGACATTGTTAGTAATAGTGAAAAAGTCAAAACTACTCAATGTAGGGGAATGCATGAGCTATTTCCTATAATGGAATGCCAATCCACATTTAACACAGAACTTCTGTGTTTTACATGGTCCAGAGAGGTTATGTGAAAAACAGATGCCACTCAGGTGCCTAATAGGAAACCTGAACCTGTACTCAGGACTCTAGGTTGAAACCTAGTACTCTTTTTTTTTTAACCTTATATTTTGAAATAACTTCAAACAAAAAAATCATTGAAAACAATACATACAAAGAATTCCTATATATTTTACCAGTTTATTTTTAATATTTTATCACTGTTTCCCCCCCCTCTCCTTCCCTCTTCTTTTTTTGATAAAATTTCTCTCTCTTTAAAAAAAATTATCTGAATATAGTTGACACAGAATGTTACATTAGTTTCAGGTATACAATATAGTAATTCACCTTCTCTGTGCTTTATGCTATGGTCACCGCAAGTGAAGCTACTATACATACAACTCTGTTACATCGCTGATTATATTCCCTGTGCTGTGCCTTTTATTCCCATGATTTATTCATTCCATATCTGGAAGCATGTTTGTTAAAATTTCTTTACTAAGCCATCTAAGAGAAGTTGTTTGCATATATTATTGTCTTTTAGCTATACTACAATATGTGTTCATATAGATAAAGATACATTTTTAAGCATTCACATTACAGATATCAAATGCAGTAAATTTAACATCAATACAGCATTTTAAAAATAATCTAGTTTGTATTACTATTTTGTTGACTGTTCTAATAATAATCTCGACAGAAAATCTCCCCTCTTACTTACTCTTGGTATGGGATTCGATTCAGGATCATGTGATGCATTTGGTGGTCAAGCCTAGATTTTAAATGATTGTTATTACCAAAGCTGTAACTATTTTACAGGTGTGCCCTATGTAATTCCTCTTTTCACAAATACCTGCTGACTTTTATTCTTGGTGTAATTGGTATATTCTTGGTGCAGTACATATTATTATTACCAAGAATAAGATTCCAGCCTTGCATGCAAATGTTAATTTAAAGAACAATTTAAACAGCAACTCCCATACCATGAGGAATTCACAGTAGGACACAGTGAGGGACATGGTGGGACTGAGGTGACCTATTTCAGAAGCTACGCAAGAGATGCAACATCTCTCTGACTCAGTCTCCTCAGCTATAAGATGGAGATTATAATGCCTCACAAGAGGCTGGGAAGGTAAATAAGGCATGAGAAGAGCCCACTATAAATTTGTAGATACTTTTATAGTATCTATGATATAGATATCATTTATAGTAGATACTTTTTTTCAATTTGTGCACTGAGATTTAGTTTGTCAAGTGTATGTGCTAAAGGTTATGGCAACTAGTAGCCTTTAAGCTTGTTCACACCAGGAGATGTGGGAGGTGACACTCAAGTCATTTTTTCCCCAGTTTATGACAAAGTTACCTGATTCCTGTGCAAACACAGATAAACTGCTTTCTCCTTTACACGTTTTACCACATAAAATTTCGTTCTGTGCAAAAGATTTTTGTTTATGTCGGCATAGGAAAAGAAATTTGCATCACTTCACTTGAACATTTTGGTTACCCATACTTTACTTACATTCTGAAGCTCATTCATGTAATTTAAAGGGATTTTTCTCTTCTTAGATAACGTGCAATATCTTTATCCAGGCAGAATTATTGAGATGGAAAGATAATAATTATATGCATTTATAAAAAGAAAAACATTAGAATTTGGTTTCTATTTTAGTCTTCCAAATAGGACCCACAATGAGTTGATAATGAAAGCTAGTGGTCCTTCACAGGCTTTTAAAATTTATGTTGTTTTCTTTCAGCTGAAAAGCATTTATTGCCGAGCTCTCTGTAATTGCAAAGAAATTGAAGTAGGGAGAAATTGTCAGGATGGCTTGAGATTTAACTCCAGTAATTTACTGAAAATAACATCAAATATATCTTTGTGTTATAGTCCCTATTCATATGAGGTAAATTAGTGTACACGATAAAACAAACACCATCATTGCTAATCATTATTAAAAGAAAGTGATACAGATTCTGGGAGCAAAATAGAAAGCTTTTTTTCTTTTTTATTCTAAGGGATTATAATAGGACTCTCTCTTTTTTTTAAAAAATTATTTATTTATTTATTTATTTATTTATTTATTTATTTATTTATTTATTTGATACAGATAGAGAGAGAGGCAGAGATACAGGCAGAGAGAGAAGTAGGCTCCCTATGGGGAGCCCGATGTGGGACTCCATCCCAGGACTCCGGATCACGCCCTGGCCAAAGTCAGACACTCAACTGCTAAGCCACCCTGGTGTCCCTATAATAGGACTCTCAATCATAAATAAATGCAATTTAAGAAGCTTAAGCGAAAAACTGTATGATAAAGGTTTTTCATATACTGTAAATCATGAAAGTGATTGAACTTTATTAATAATTAAGACCAAGGATACAGGTGCATTTAGCATTCTCTTTCCATTTCTCCTCTTTGGCCTTTTCTGCTCATGTTTATTCTTTTCACTCTATGTTTGCAGACCATCCTCTTTTTATTCTGGTCACATGGAGAAGAATATGATTGACAACAGCTTCTAAACTTTGCATCTAAAATTCTGTCACTGAAGAGAGTCTCTTTTTTCTAAAACTCCTGGGGAGAGACTTGGATTGGCCCAGCTTAGGTCAAGTTTGCACCTCTAGCCCAATTGTTATGACCAGAGGCAAGTCCTGGGGCAGGACTCATCCACATTGGATGAGGATACCTCACATTGATATGGGAGAGCTAAGTTTTTGTCTCATGGAGTCGAAGAATGAATCTTGCGGACAACGGAGAATGAGTAAAGTGATAGAAGTTTATTAAGCAAAGATACAGAGAAAGCTCTAAGAAGTGAGAGGGGACAACCCAGCAATTGCACTGCTGGGGATTTACCCCAAAGATACAGATGCAGTGAAACGCCGGGACACCTGCACCCCGATGTTTATAGCAGCAATGTCCACAATAGCCAAACTGTGGAAGGAGCCTCGGTGTCCATCGAAAGATGAATGGATAAAGAAGATGTGGTCTATGATACAATGGAATATTACTCAGCCATTAGAAACGACAAATACCCACCATTTGCTTCGACGTGGATGGAACTGGAGGGTATTATGCTGAGTGAAGTAAGTCAATTGGAGAAGGACAAACATTATATGGTCTCATTTATTTGGGGAATATAAAAAATAGTGAAAGGGAATAAAGGGGAAAGGAGAGAAAATGAGTGGGAAATATCAGAAAGGGAGACAGAACATGAAAGACTCCTACCTCTGGGAAACGAACAAGGGGTGGTAGAAAGGGAGGTGGGCGGGGGGTGGGGGTGACTGGGTGATGAGCACTGAGGGGGGCACTTGATGGGATGAGCACTGGGTGTTATTCTATATGTTGGCAAATTGAACACCAATAAAAAATAAATTTATCAAAAAAAAGTGAGAGGGGTCTGGACAGGGTTGCCACTGAGGGCTTTTTGGCTGGCCTTTTATTGAGAACCTAGCCAGGGAGCCCACAGCCTTGAGATTTCTTTGTTCTGTCTCGAGTGATTGACATATGGTGAATGAATATGGTCTGGTGAATCTCTGTGATTGCTTGCTAACCATCAAAGAGAGGTACTCTCTAGTATTTTGGAGCTAGGGAGCCTAATTTATTTATTTATTTTTGTTTTTATTGTCTTATCTTTGTTTCCTTGGGATGGGTAGAAGCCTGACTCTGGGACCTCTCCAGTGTCCTTGGGATTTATAGGAGCCCACAGATTTATGGGAGCTCTTTCTCTGCCTAGCCCCATCTGCCCCTAGCTCATTCCTACAGTCAACTGCAGCCTGCTGACCAGGGTGACACCAAAGAAACATGTGGAGAAGGAAAGGGGTAGTTTTTAGAAAAGGGAAAGTGGGGAGACAATATATGACCACCATAAGGGTGTACTCTATCCACTCTTTGAAAAAACAATTTCTGATGGCCTATTGCATTCATTTTGATTAATTCAGATACAGATAGCAGGACAAGCAGTGATTTAAACAGTGATTTAAAAGTATTATTCTTGGAGCACTTGGCTCGTTGAGTCAGAGGAGCATGAACTTTTGACCTTGAGGTCATGAGTTTGAGCCCCATGTTCAGTGTAGAGATTAAATAAATCTTTAAACAAATAAATAAAAATAGTAGTCTCATCTTAAAAGTAAGAGATAGATGCTCCAGGGAAGCTCCTCAAAATCATCTGGGACATGGCCTTCTTCCATCTTTCTGCTCCACTATACCCAGTGCATAGCTTCTATCTCCAGGACACCTTATGGTCCCACATGGCTGCTGGAGCTCTAGCTATCATGCCCAATTTCCAGTCAGGAAGGAGGAAGGGGGAGAGAGGAGGGGAAAAGATTTATCCATTTGTCTGACTCCCTCTTTAAAAAAACTTCCTGGAAATCCTTCTAAGCCTTGTTGCTTCATTGCTAGAGGAGCTCTGTTAAGTAAGAATGTGAGAATAGTTGTTGAATAGACAATTAGCAGTCTCTATCATATTTACTATGAGACAGATACTGGTAAATGGGAACACAATGAATATGATATGTAAAGAGACACCCATAGCCAGTCCCTAAGGTGGCACAAGATGAGGGGAAGAGTCCAGTACCAGGTGGAGACATTAGCCTGACAGGGAAAATGTGTACCTCTTTGTTTTATGGAGCTAAGGGGAGAAGATAGGTGAACACAAGTTTGTAGATGGGGTAAAGTGAGGGGAAAGGGCTTCCACTGATCCACATCAGTTGTCTCTGAGAAGAGAAGGTGATGGAAGAATTGCTGCTAAAAAATAGTGAACAAAGGCAAAAAGTTTCTTTTCACAAGGAGGAACAATTAAATGGATGGTTCTCAACCCTAGCAATGCATAAAATACCCACATGAAAAAATATCAATGAGGCTGGCATGGTGAGCAGGCTTTGGTAATTTTTTTCCAGGTGATTCTAATGTTTAGGTGAGTGAGAACCACTGGTCCATTTCTAAACAGCCAATTTGGTGTAGGTTGTAAGAGATCTGGACTAGGAGTCAGGAAAGTAGGAATTGCACCCTGCACATATCACCAAACCAACCTCCAGCTTCACTTAGAAAATGAAGATTTTCTAAATTGAAACACAATTAGATGGCAACATTTGAAACATTTGAAACAACAAGTAAATAAGCACATTCTATGCAATATCTCTACTTGGCTATTTTAGGTAGAATTTAGTGACATTTCTTAAGCTAAAGTTCCTATCAACTATGGGAATGCCCAGTCTTTTAGAATTCAGCTGTTGTTTTTCTGAGTAAGCTATTTAATTAATGTTCTGTAAGGTGAAGCCCCTGTTTGCTCGTTTTCTTTAATATATTACGTAATTCACCTGGCCCTGGTTATCAGCCAGAGAGCTATCTAATTAGCACGGTGGCTCAAAACATTTCCTCTTGAAGAATTGAAAGATATTGTTTGAGTACTGAGGTATTGTTAACTGCACCATATGCATCCCTTTGAAATAACGGTTTTGGTCAAAAGTAAAAAAGGTGGTTGAAAAATCTGTCATGTTGAAATGATCTAAGGAATAAAAGAAAACTGCACAGTTGAAAAGAAAAATGCTTCTGTTTATATCATATGATTGCTTTCTCATCAATTAACTTGGTGGCAGAGAAGCAACAATGATAGTGATAAAATAATAGAGTGTTATGATAGAGCCTCAGAAAATACATTGAGGTCTGAAAGCTATTGGATACCTTCATGCAATATTGATCTCCTTCTCATATGAAGCAGATGGAATTAATAGATTGGACCATTGTTTATTCATTCATTCTTTCAAGAAACATTTGTGGAGCACCCCACTATGTGGCAGGCACTCTTCTAAGCATTAAAGATTTATGGTAAGAAAAAGCAGACAAAATTCCTGCCCTCCTGGATCTTTAATTATAGTAGGTGAGAGTGAACAGATTAATGTCTAAAATATGCAGCATACTTGATTTTAGATAGTGATGAGTGTTTTGACAAAGGAAAAGCAAAGGAGAAGGAAGTATGGGCTGTGGTTGGAGGGTTGCAATTTTAGATGGAGTGACTAGGGAAGGCTTAAAGGTAGTGTGTTCATGAGCATTGCAACAATCTTAGAGAAGAGCATTCCAGGAAGAGGGAATAGCAAGAGCAAAGGCCGTGAGGTACTTACTGGGTGGCCGGTGAGACAGACAGTGGTAAACTAGGTAGGGCCTCATAGGTCACCATAGTGACTTACACTGCTATTGCTTGTGGGATAGGAAGCTGTTCCAGGTTTTAAACAGACCAGTATTGTTTTAGCAGGATCTTTTAGGTACATACAATTGTGCTGTTGAAGATAGACTTTAGGAGACTTTTGCAATAACCCAAGCAAGGGGTAATAGTGATTGAACTAGGGTGATCAAATTGAGGTAGTAAGAAGTGATTTAATTTCTGGATATATTTTGAAGGTAGGGTGGATAGGATTTCCGGATAGAGTAGACATGAAGAATGAGAACAACAGCAACAAAGAGAGTCAAGGATAATACCTAGATTTGTGAGCATTGGAAAAATGACAATACTATTTACTGAGATGGGGATATCTGTGAGAGCAGAAGGCTTAACAGGTCATCTCATTTGGGTGTTACGGGCCATGAGGACGTACAAATGGATGTCAGACAGACTGTTGAGTGAGTCTGGAGTTCAGGGTAGAAGCCAGACTAATATGTTTTCATGATGTGTAGATAGAGAGTACTTAAAGCCACAAGAATTGATGACATCACCAAAGGAGAAATGAAGGCCTGAGCTGTGGGGTCTCCAATGTTTATGTGACAGAGACACTAGGGGAAAGCAGACAAAGAGGCTGAGAATGAGTGGTCAAAGAAAGAGGTCATGGCTTATGGTGTCTGTAGAGTGAAGTGAAGAAAGTATTGAAGGAAGCAGAAAGGGTCAGGTAATCAAGTCTTTTAGCAAGGTACACCAAGGTCAGAATCCCTGTTACAGAAAATAGGACAAGGAGAGAACACCTGAAACTCCAGTGATTGCCCAAGGTCACACAGTTGGCGTGGGGTAGATCTGAAATGAAAACTCCTGGTTGTTTGACCTTAATCCAAGATCTTAAAGGGAAAATAAAATAAGAAAGTTTAGTTCACCTACTTGCAACAGCAGGTACATTTGTAGTTCTATGAGCTTTTTTGCAATTTCTTTGCTAAATGAGGATTTCCATTGCTTAGCAAAACAAAATAAACAAAATGGAAATTTAAAAAACCCCACAAGAGTTTTAAAGAGCGTTTTTGAAAATGAACATTTCATTGAAGTGATGAAGATAAGTTGAATCTACCATATATTGTGTTTCCAAAGCAATTCTGGGTTTGTCTTTTTTTTTTTTTTTTTTTGTGCATTACAATTGCTTTTCCACGTTGCTCAGGGCTTTAGTAAGCTCCCTCTCATCTCTCACAGGGTTCTGCATAGGCTTCCTCTATTCAATCAATTGCAGTCTCCAAAGTGGCACATTGAAGGGAATGTGCAATGAATACTAAAAAAGGAAAAATGAACCTGCAAATACATGGCAGCTGGCAGCTTCTTAAAATCCTAATCTCATTTAATGAAATACTAATGATTTTCAGTTTCAGCAACAGAGACCAAAAAAACAAACCAACAAACAAACAAAAAAAAAACTTCTATATTGAATACCAAAGGGCCAAAATAGGGCCAAACTTCATTTAAATCCAGATAAGAAGAGGTTTGGGGTGAGTATCACATCCTTTAGTATCTAGTGAATATCAAATTTTGCATGCTTACTAGGAAGTCCTAAACACCGAAACAAAAGCAGGAGTACGGTGGGAATTGAGGGTCAGTGCTGCTTAGTAGGTGGACAGCACTGGTCCTGCACTCCCTAACAGTGCTTGCTTTGCAGGTCCTCTAGTGCTCTTTCCTCACCTCCTCTTTACTCCACACGTCTACCAGCTACCAACATTCCCTGCCTCTCTCTACTGTCCTATACCTCATATTCCCATTCTTGCTGAATCCATTTAGGCATCTATCCCTCCCTCGCCCACCCTACCCGCCAACTGGTTTTCATGTGTCTGTAAGGATTTATATACAAAAGGAATTATTACAGAAATTTTTTTTAAAGATTTTATTTATTTATTCATGAGAGACAGAGAGAGAGAGAGGCAGAAACATAGGCAGAGGGAGAAGCAGGCTTCCCGCAGGGAGCCTGTTGTGGGACTTGGTCTGCAGACCCAGGATCACGACCTGAGCCAAAGGCAGACCCTCAATCACTGAGCCACTCAGGTGCCCCCAGGAATGGGTTTAATAGTGAAAAATTGGAAACAATCTAAATGTCCATTAACAGAATAGGAAAATATATTAAAACACATTTATTCTATGGAATACTATTCAACTGCTGAAAAGAATAAGACAAAACTATATATAACATGTGAGGATTTCTAACATATATTGCTAGGTGAAAATAGCAAGTCACAGAGCAATACCATATGTTAACCATTTGGGTTAAAAAAAAAAGGAAAGAAAAACATTAACTTGTTGAGAGTCACTACTTGAGATGAAGGGGGTGGGGCACAGGAAGCAGGGGTGTGAAGAGGTACTGTCACTTTTCATCCCATTTACAGTTTTTTAAAGTGTTTTTTCATGAATTACCATGTAGCTTAAAAATTAAGTTTAGAAATGTCACTGTTGTATTCTTTCTCACTTCTAATAATATTCTCAAACAGGATATGAACAGAAAGAAAACGGTCAGGTTTATTGACTTCCGTATCTCACACTTGGGTTCCAGGGCTTGACTACGATTTCCTTCCTGTGCTCTGATAGAATCACTAGCTTTAGGTATGCCTTTATGGTAGAAACAGCATTTTGTTTTGCTTGAATTTTTGACCCAATAATCTCAGGAGAGAGCTATGTTTCTGTAATACTTGTGTAGTATCGTGGGCTTTTTTTTTTTCTTTTCGTAAAGTTAGGCCAGAATCCTCTTACCACCCCAAACAAAAAATAGACCATTTAAGAAAAAGTTCTTAATGTGCTGCTAAATGCTAATTATAAATATTAGAGAATAGGTTGTTTTCCTGAATATAAGCATAAAGGAAATGCAGCTTCAGAAATTTGATGGAAATACGAGATATAAAAGATGCAGAGTATTTATCCTAAATTAAGTTGAAAAGTGAAATTAGCAAAATGGCTAAAGGAGTTTTAACATGAAACATTAATTGGGATTTAATGATGTAATTTTAGCCGTGAGGAAGAGACATAATAACATTCCGTCAATCCTTTGTTGGAGCTCCTTGTGATATTGCCTTAACTGTAGCTTCCAAGAATGAGGTACACAATCCATTCTAGGAATCAGAATCCAATTATTTTATATTGGTTTCATGCTTTTACCCAGAGAAATTCACAAATTATTTTTAATCACTTCTTTTATTTTAAATCAATAGTGTCTGCCAAGTGGATAACATTTCCCATTAAAACATCACCTTCTGTAATTGGTATAATTACTTTGTAAAGAGATAAACCGCAACGCAATTTGACAATCTTTGGGTTTATAAAATCTAATTATGTTCACTACACAATATTTTATTCTCAGTGATCACAAAAAGAGCATAAACTTGAACAAAACCCAAACATTTATGGTAAAATAATTGGAAAGAAACAAGTTAATTATTACATGTAGAACTGGCTCCATTACTCTCTGGGAGGAGCTCCTTTTTAGGCAACTGTTCAGGAAGTAAGGTTGTTTGAGGGTGTTCTGATCCCTTTCACCTAGGCTGGCAGTCTTGTGGTTGGAGATGGAGGGTACAATTCCAAGATACTGGCCTTTCAAGGAGGGCCAGAGCCCAGGTCACCCAGGTTTGGAAGAGAGAATCCCCAGACTGGGATTTTCATCCTACAAGCATAGGCTGATGCAGAAGAGGGTTGTTGGGGACAGGCATGACCTTCAACGTCTGTTTCAGCAGATTTGCTTTCACCTATTTTACATTTTGTGCTTCTGCAACAGATTTCATTTGGAGAAAGGGTATGAGTTGCTAAAATTAATTTTTGAAAACCTCTGCTCTATGCCATAGTCACGTGCTGCCTCTATGTCAAAGGGGGGATGACTGAAAAAATATAAAAAAGGGGGAAAAGGGCTGGAAAAACCCTTTGATTGAACCAGCAGGGCAAACAGCAGCCCACATTACATGAGAACCACATGCTAAAACTCAAAAGCCTTTTTATATCATCAATTGTTCTCTAACTTTGGCAAAAACACATCCCTAATTTTACAAAATGATAAAACACACATGTAAACCAAGAAAACAACCCCAAACTATACCTCACTTGTGCCTGTCCCTATTGCTTCAAGATAAGAAAAGGGAGGTCAGATGTGAAGAAAATACTAGAACAGGAGGGAATTGGATGTCCCTTAATCAGCTTTAGCATTGTCTGAAACTGGGGTTCCATTTTGCTTCAGCATCATTGAGGATTAATCTGCTTTTCTTTCTTTGCATTTCTCTCCCCTTCTTCCTTCTTCCTTTTCAACGGTATCTTAAGGGACTTTTCCTGCCTCTTTCTCTCTTCCTCCTGCTCCTTAACCCTTATACCAATAAGCATGACATCTCCATTTGGGAAGCAGCAACTTACAAACTCAGAGACTCAGAGAAAGAAAGTTAATAATAAGCAGGATGGAAGGATAAAAAGATTTACACACTTGTCCTCAAATCTACAGAAGATTCTGGGTGAGAAAGGGAGGTCGCGGAGGGGTGGGATGAGGGCCAACTTGTACAGGAGACAAAGAAGTAGAGATATTAGGTACTGGAGAATTTTTCCATAGAAGGAATTTAAAGTGGCAAGCTGATTCTTGCACACTGGCTCCTACCTGTGATTCAGATGGCAATGTCAGTGTCCCTTCCTGGGAGAAAGCTTCCCTGACTGCCCAGCAAAAAGTGGCCACCAAATCACTCTCCACTATATTACCTCATTTTACCTCTCTACACAAGATTTATTTATCTGGAATTTTTCTTCTTTATTTTTTTCTGCCTCTTTCCAGCCCTATTCTTATCCCCTTCCCCTAAAATATAAGCTCCTTGAAGAGCATATATTGTCTGTTTCTTGCTCCTAGAATATAAGCCCCAAGGCTTCAGGGACTTGGCTGATTTTATTAACATCTGTATTGCTCAAAGTGCCTTGCACATTCAATACTTCAATGGATAGTTGTTGAGAAAAAAAAATCATAGATAGAGGGACACCTGAGTGGCTCAGTGGTTGAACATATACCTTTGGTTCGGGGCATGGTCCTAGGGTCCTGGGATCGAGTTCCTCATCGGGCTCCCTGCAGGCAGGGAGCCTGCTTCTCCCTCTGCCTATGCCTCTGCCTCTCTCTTTCTGTCTTTCATGAATAAATAAATAAAATCTTAAAAAAAAGAATCATAGAAAGAAAGCCCTTTCTCACTGATGATGTTGCATTGTGATGAAGCAATGGAAATTTTCCCTGAGTTGGAGCAATGGCAGGCACATTGCTTCCACGATAGGTATAGCCCCAGTTTTTAGTCCATTGGGACCAACAAGAGCTAATGGCAAAGATGGAACTAGAAGTATCTTCTCTGTACTGAACAGTAATGTGGGTATGGAAAAGACACCATAGGAAGAGAAAGGAGCCTCCTATCTCCAGGAGACAAGAAGAGTTCTAAAGGAGGTGCTCACTGCAACGGAAGCATACATAGATCAACTAATGCTGCAATCCCTTAAGCTTAACAAAAACTTTTTTTGTCTTCATCATGTTGATAAACATCAAAGATTTGTCTCCGTCTTTTGCTGTTTCTTTTCCTTTTTTTGGAAGATTTTATTTATTTTATTCATGAGAGATACACAGAGAGAGGCAGAGGGAGAAACAGACTCCCCATAGGGAGCCCGATGTGGGACTCAGTCCCAGGATTCCAGGATCACGACTTGAACCCTGAGCTGGAGGCAGATGCTTAACCACTGAGCCACCCAGGCGTCCCTCTTTTGCTATATCTATACCAAGTACTACCTGCCTTTTTGCTTCACTCTATTCCCCATTCAAAGAAACTAAAGGAAAGGCATATGATCATTTACAAGTCAAGATATTTGATATTAGCATTTCATTAGTGATTTAAAATATACTTTTAGAATATGTAAAGTACAATAAACACACATATTTTAAGGTAAACAATAGAAATTCATAGCAAGGAGTACGTGTTTTAGACTGTGAATAGTAATGTTTCATTTTGGAAATGATGACTTTAGTAAATGATATAAAGTAAAGATTGTCAATGCAAAAAAAAAGTGAATTATAACAAATTGTTATACCCTGGACATTAAAGTCTTCATAAATAGAGTGACTATATGATTTATCATCCAAATGGGATGGTTCTAAGAGTGAAAGCATGCACTGGTTATAATTAACACTGTAACAACGGACCATAAACCAGCATAAACCAGAATGTATGGTCATCTTCTTCATGGGGACACTTAATGATAAGAAAACTGCTTTTAGGTTTTTTTTTATTTTTGAAAAAAACAAAGCAAAATAGTTATGAAAATTAAACTTTCTTCTCTCCTTGCAAACAAACACTAATGTCTCAATTTTTAAGAAGTATTCTCAATGTTTATTTCACCACCACATGCCATGTATTATTTATCTTTCGTACAATAGAGAGATCTGTGCCCTGTAATGAGGGGAAATAAAAAGGATATAATTATTGATACTTTTTTAAAATACAGAAGGTGTACCTAATATTAGTGCTTCCTTTGTGACTGTGAAATATGTTCTATCTTTGGATCTTAACTCTCTAACTTTAAAAAATAGGATAGAATTAAATTTATATTGAGGAGGAGATCCAGCTACAGATTGCAAGGCAGCTTTCCCATGTTAGCTTTGACTATGCAGCTTTACTTTTCCAAGAGTGAAATTGTATTGAAGTGGTTTTCCAAAATGTTTTGTGGAAAATAAGAATTAATAGATGGCAACTCCTCATTCATGATCCCCAAACAGGAAACAAATTCATCAGGCAAAAGGGTCTGTTCTGGAATAGTTTCGTTGGGTGAAGCATTTTCCAAGAGCATGGTTGTTTCTCCCTCAACTGAATTTTGCATGTCCAGAGGACTTCTTTCTCCTTGATTTAAAATGAGGCTTAATTCTTCAAGAAATAGTGTGTTGCTTAGCGAATTCATACTTGAGACAGAAAAAGCAAAATTAGGGTATTTTTTAAACCTGGCATCTCCCCCCAGGTCTGAGGAATCAGCCAGTGGTTTGAGAGTTGAGGAAGATGTTTCATCTTTTTTGCTGAGATGGTTTCCTCCAGTGAGAAAATTCGAAATCTGGGGTTTATACCCAGTGCTGAGACCAGGAATATACACAACTGTAGTGTTGGTGAGTAGTGAGTTTTGCAGGCAGTCTCTTGTCTCCAGGGATCCTGTATTCTTTTCCGTCTTGTAGTCTGTGGGTTTGTGTTCTTCTGGGAGAACGATTTCTATCTCTGTAATCACTGGATCAGCATATAGGACCTGTTCACTGGAATTATTATTCATAAATTCACTTTGTTTCTAGGAAGAAAGATTTTGTTTTTATTGTACAAAAGGTATTTAAAGGAGCTAACTGGATAATTAAATAAAGACTGGAATTCTGTTTTCTTTTTCCCCTCCCTCTTCTGATATTGTTTCTCTTCCCATACAATTTCCTCCTTTTGTTATCCTGCTCAATTCCAAATCTTTATTAAATGCTCCCACAAGAAGACTAAAGAGAGGAATAATAAAAATAGTCTCTGTTTTAAGAACATGTCTTGGTTTAAAATTTTTAAAGAGAAAGACATATCTTGCACATTAACTTGCATATTATTTCAGTACCTTTTAATATTTGGAAGTTTAATAAGTTGGAATATTTCTTAATATCATGGAGCCTTACTATGAGAAAATATCTCTGCTTAAATAAAAAAAAAGGAACATGGGATAATCTTGTTTTGTTTCTATTTTCAAATAATGTAGTAATAAATGCTTGGTGCTGAGGTTCTCACGGTGTGCAGCTACTCACACTTCAGATATGAACAGGAGGGTTGGTAAAGAAAGTTTTTATTTGTATAAAACCCTGATGACTCTTCTGGGTGAGAAAATGACTCAAGGCCTTGCAGCTGGTGGCTGGCAAATAACTCCCACCCAATGCTGTTATAAAATTATAGCCACTTGCCATGGACTGAGTGTTTGTGTTCCTCCAGAATTTCTGTTGAAGCCCTAATCCCTAGTGTGATGATAGTAAGAGGTGGAGCCTTTGATGGGTAATTAGGTCATGAATGTGGAACTTTCATGAATAGAATTAGTGCCCTTCCAAGAAGACACATGAGATTGTGATCTCTCCTTCTGCCCTGTGAGGATACTGCAAGATGGTGGCCATCTGCAGGAGAGCTCTCACCAGGAACTCAGCCTGCCTGTGTCTTAATCTTGGACTTAACAGCCTTCAGGACTGTGAGAAATAATGTTTGTTGCTTAAGCCATCCAGTCTCTGGTATTCTGTTATAGCAGTCTAAGCTGACTAGAACACTACCCCCTTAGTCTTTGGGTAGAAAACAAAACTTCATCTGAAGGTTCATTTCTAATTCCTAGGAGCCCAGAATGGGAAGGAAGTTTGGCAAAAAGGAAGAGCTTGACTAAAGCAGAATGAAGCATTGTTCAAATTTTCTTCAGGCTCAGCCTCCTTTGGGAACATGTCAGGTTTGGGTTGGAAAGGGCAGACAGGTAGTCAAATGTCAGATAAAAGCCAAAGAAACTAGATATGTTATAAGTAATGAAGAATGCAAAGTGGCTGTGTTCCATAGAAGGAGGCGTTTTCCATACTTGGGACTGGCCACTGAGTGATGTAGGTGGAAGTCAGAACACAGTGAAGGACACAGAAGAGCAACAGGGATCATTCCAGAGTGAAGACAATAAAGGAAGAAGAGGATCTGACTATCACAAGGTCAGGGACCATTCTCTGAGCCACAGATAATCCCCAGTTCCCTTGGATAATAGTGGGGAACAAGATAGAACTACCAAGTGGAAAGAATATCAAGATTACAGTATTTATTATCGGTAGTTTGATGAATATATGCTTGTCCTTCAGTTACTTGATAACTATGTACTTTGTTACATATGTGGGTCTGGTTGTGATCATGCCTCCACTACTGGTAGGCAACATTACCTCCTTCAAAATCAGCCACGTGCACACCCTTTCTCATCTTCAAGTATCCAGAAACAGGAATCCTCCCTTTGCCTAAGACAAACAAACCTTTCTACTTCATCCCGTTCGGCCATCCCCTCCCCTCTTCTTCACAGTCTTGTTTGATCAATATTCCCTCTTTCTCTGTAGTCGTAGTTGTTCTTAAGCCTGTCCAATTTAGTATAAACATACTTCTGATTCACATCCCTGTGAAGCTACTGTTGTTCCTTCATTGCATAAGGATACAAGAGCTGACCTTGTGTCAGCGTAGCTTCTCTACTTCCCTTTTAGAAGAATGTTTTCATTCTCAGCTTCTGCTTCCTCACTTCCTAAGCACTTCTGAATTCACCAGTGACCTCCCCCTTGTCACATTCCGTGGAATATAGACCCTCTACAAAGTGGCCAGCACCATGGATCCTTGCTTCTTGATGCATTACTCATTCTCTGACCCTCCTCTTCTGCCTCTCTTGTAGAGCCTGGTCTGTTCCAATGGAACTGCCCTTCGTTAACTCCTCATTGTCATTAGCAGTAGTTTTCAACCCCTTAACAGTGTTCTCAACCTCAGCTGCATAGTGGAATCACTTGGAAAACTTTGGATAATACCGATGCCTGCATCTCCCCATGCCCTCCCTCCCCTAGAGATCCTGGGATGTGACTGGGGCATCAGGATTCCAATAGGCAACCAAGGCTGAGAACTACTACCTTAGGGACTTCTCTGGAGTTTGGTAAGGAATTGGATAACAGGCTCATTAGAGTCTCAAACAAAACCACTTTTATTTGTTTTATAAATATTTGTCTTTCTCACATCTTTAGAACAAAGGGTTTCTAGGGGTGCCTGGGTGGCTCAGTCAGTTAAGTGTCCAAGTCTTGGTTTTGGCTCATGATCTCAGGGTTGTAAGATTGAGCCCCATGTTGGTCTCTGTGCTGAGCGTGGACCCTGCTTAAGATTCTCTCCCTCTCTCTCTGCCCCTTCCCCTCCACTCATGAAAAAAAGAAAAGAACAAAGGGTTTCTAGGCTGAAAAAAACTTTTTAAAAGTTTGAACACTATTGTTAACAGAATGAAGCCTGGGTTCTATAATGAGACCTTCTGTGATCTGATCACCACTCCAGCAACATACCAGTCACTCCTCATATCAAGCTTTTCAGTAAAGCAACAACTAACATGCTCTTCTCACTCTGTGCTTTTGCTCATGCTGTCCTCTCTTTTGAATGTTTTTTGTTTCTCGTAAGCAACTCCTCATTTTTCTATATGCTTCCTCTATATCCCTATCATGTTTGGTCACTGCAGTTACATCACTGCACTGCAATGCTTGGGTGATGAGTCTGTCCCATCAACTGGGTTTTGAGCCCCTTAATGGTGAAAGCAGAGTACCAAAAAGTAGAAAGAGCACACAGAGCAGAATCTTTCCCCTCCTCCATAATCAGCAGCAGTTCCTCCATATTTAGAAAAGTCCCCTGTAGTCTCCAGTATTTCCAGAACATCTTTCTCTTCATTTTGTGTTGGAAACCTGGCCCAGCCCTGGTAACATTATCTCCCACAGTCCTCTCACACTTATTTTCTCCAATCCTTTGAACCTCAGGACTGAAGCAGATCTCACCTGATTCTCCAATCTTATGTAAAACAGAAGCCCCTTTGTGTCTTTGAGCCTCATTTTATTGAGCTTTTCTGCCCTTCTCCTTCTGTCTCTCCCTGAAGTCATCTATCAGCTATTGGCCAGCAGGTGACTGACACCTGGCCCACAAACTTCCCCTTCTCTTTTCCCTTTTCGATAACATTGTTTCTTTCTTCCTTCTCTTTCCTTCCCTAAACTTTATTCCCTCATCTCTCTTAAGTATAATTTGAAATGTGTATATTCTGTTTTGACATATGTTTATACAATTATACTAAAACGTACACACATTTATTTAAACAGAAATTCTATTCTAATTATTGGATTGCACTCTTAGTCTTAGCAGCCACTTAGGTTTTATGTGATGTTGTTTGGTTACCTGTAACATTTTTACAACTTTACTATTTTCCATATTAGGAATATCTTCATGAAGCCACTTTGGTATTAGCAATAAGATTCTTCTTTTAATTCTAGGAAATAAAAATGACACATTAGAAGAAACATTTTACTTAAAGATTGGTACAGGCAATCACATAAGAGACCAGGAAATCAACTGGAATGGAATGCATAATAAAGATTAAACTTCCTGAGGCAGATTTCCACCTCTTACTTTAGAAAGTTAAGTGGGAAGTTGACTAAATATCTTTTCAGATTTTCCTCCTCTCTCTATTGCTCTGCTTTTCTCTAACGAGCCAGAACATTTCAAAACACTCACACTAGATTCAAGGTAAGTGGGAGAACCACCCGGGAAGTAAAACTGTATGCCTGTTACATATGGCTAACCATTATGGGCAGATATCACTGTGGAAAGGTTTGGAAAATGTAGGGGATATTTTATAGAGCTTTCCAAGTCGACTATAGCCACAGAAGAATATTGAAGAAGAGAATACCATATAATAAAACTGTGTAATTCTAGCTCCTCTAATTCTGAATTTGTACTGATTCCATATAGGGTTGAGGGGATTAGGGGTAGCTCCAAACATTATGTGGTTAGAGTAGGAAGCTGGAGAAGTTGTCCTGCAATTGTATGGCACAGTGAGAATACTGGTTTTTACTTAGGCTTGTGTGCTTAGTAAGGACCACTGGTTTGGGGTGATGTAAAGAAAAGGGAGAAGCCGTGAGCACCCCACTTCTTCCCCAAGCCACCCTTGGCACTGCCACTGTGTTAGGAGCACGTCCTGCATTTATAGTACAAATTGATTTGGGCAGAGGTTGTAACAGGGACTTAGACTACACTGATCTCTGGCACATTTTTACCTGTAAACAACGTACCTGTTCACAATAGACCAGCCTTGTTTATCTGTTTAAGCAGGTTTTCTAAGAACTTTTACTGGGTAAAAACCAAAATGCTAACTGAACTTTGCTCACTCAATTTGACCTTGAACTGTAGGGTAAAAATAATTTCTTTACACATATTTATACAATGTTTTATGATTCAGCTTTTTTACTAATTCACACTCTCCTTCTATACCTAAAATTAGACCAAATTAGTAAGTTGATGCTGTTACAGAAAAGTTTTTATACAGCATGCTGATATAGTGAGAACATTTATGTATACACACACACATATAGGTCTACCCATTCTTGGTTTCATTTTAAAACGTTTTGCCCTTGGTTTTCCAGTTTTGTTTCTGAAGTAAGGCTTTTATAAGTAATGTATAATTATAGTAAATAGCAGTGTCTGCTTATATGTAAAATAGTTGCATTCAAATTATCTCGTTTCATTTATCTTTTTAAAAAGAATACTTATTTAAATAATTAGCAAAAAATTGTCCTATTTTCATTGTCCTATTTGTCATTGCCAACTGAAAATTAATTTTTAGGTTATTAATAACAAACTTAATGCTATTTAAAATTTCATAGTATCTTTGAACAATAACAAATTTAATATTTTTATGTCATACAAGTTCAAACATTAAGATGTTGGTAGGAGCCTTATAATCAAGTATATTTTTAAAGCAGAGTTTTGTATTAGTTTGCCCATCTCATAATGATATCAGGGATATATTTATTAATGGGTAAGTTAATTTTGAAATATTACTGACTTCTGAGAAAAAGCCTAATTTTACAGCTTAATTTTAAAAAAATCACAAGTGTACCTTACTCAGACTTGCTCATTCTAAATCTTATTGCCTTTTGATTATACATTTAAAAGAAAGAAAGAGTATCCTCATGAAGCAAGTAATGGCAAAAAAGAGAAACTCAGTGCCGGTTAGGCAAAGAAATTTGTATGATTAAAATTTGTGAGTCATTAGCTTACAGTTGTTTGCCACATCAAACAACTCCAGTCTATTAACAGATTAGAAATACTCAACACATCTAATAAACTTAGGAAATTGAAGGCTTTGTTTTCTGCAAGGTCTCATTTATCCATAGCAGGCATAGATCTTTACTAATTCCATATTGGAAAACAGTGATTGAAAGGGGCCAATGAGAATGGACCTGGGAGCTGGATGCTAAAACACCCACACAACTGGTATCAAAGTAACAAATTCAGAGGTTGCCACACTTCTCTTCATTCATGCTGATTCAGAGGATTTGTTTGGGTAGAATTCGAGGCCGGTTAGGACCTAACCATTTAAAAGAATCCAGGCGTAGTGAGCAGGCTGTGTAGTGAAGGAGAGAACATGGGTTGTGATGTCAGCTGGGTCTAGGTCCCTGGCTTAATGCTTAGTGACCATGGGCTGACCAGTTAACCTCTTGAAGCCTAAAGTAAGTGATCTGTAAAATAGGCCTTTGGGTTTTCCTGGAGGTCACCAGGAGGATTAAATGAACAACATGGGTCAGGTGGTTGGCATAAATCGGTAATCACTGAACACTGTTCCTTTAATTTTTTTCTTTCTCTGATTAAAAATGTTGATGGGTTTTCCTAGTAAATAACTGAATTGACTAGATTGGCTACATGTGGTCTAAGTCAGAAAACAGAAATTCTACAGAAACCTACCCAGTTCGGATTGATCTGTTAAATATCCCAATCAAAGAAAGAATTGACAACATAACAGCAAAGAAGATCATTCCCAATAAAAGTCCAATGTCTTGTTGCCTGTTGTCTGAAGAAAAAAAAATAACTTTAGCTAAGGATTAGTGTCTATGGGATGTCAGAATCATTGTTTCCTCTACTCAGCACAAAGCAAAAGTCATTAATCTCAAAGGAAAAAGGGAAGGGGAGAACATATTTAGCTTTTATGTTGGGCTGTGTTTACAGTGACTGTCCTTCCAAACTGCACAACAATACCTTTTTTCCTGAGAAAATTGGGCCGTATGTATTTGGTATCAGTGGGTTTCTAGAAATGCAGCTCTGGCAAATGTGGTTAGCATTTCCCACTTTTTCTGAGCTTGTGCATGCATATTTTATATAAAAGGGTTTAGTGATGTACCTCGTTTGTTTTGTCTGACACAAGTGAGAATTCCCAGTTGCTGGTAACAGACTCTAAAACTGGCCACAATCACGACTGAGGTTTTTTTGGGGGGTTTTCTTTTGAACCTTTTGAGTAAGATAGAAGTTATATAGCACTTGTCACCATTCTTCAAAATTTATTGTTCATGAATTTTCTTCTGCTGAGAAAGGATATTTGCTCTACTTAAAACAATATATAAGAAGGAAATTTAAATTGCTATATAACTTGCACTTACATTTTATCTTAAAAACAATTATTTTCTTGCACTTTGAAGCATCAATTAATCACCCCTAATCTTTAAATAATTAACATGATATATTCAACACATGTTACCTATGAGGCTCATCACATTTTCTCCCTAGTACATGAAAAAAAATCTTGTTTTCTATTTTCAAATATAGACTATCATTGAGACATAACTATCATGCTGGAGTTTGTTCTGAGTGATGATGGGTATTGGCCTCCTTTCCATCCTTATTCCTTTCTTTCTCACTCTCTTTACCAAATGTTTATCAGATACTTACCATGTGGCAGACACTTCACTGGCTCTACCCTCATTATTTCCCACCTGTACCCAACAGACACTTGGGGGTCTCCAAGCTGCCTGGTCCCTCTCCTAAAGCCAACTGATGTGCACGGACCAGGCTACTGTAGCTTAGCTTACTCCAAAGTCCAGGGGCCAGAGATGGGGAGTGGGGACTGGGTGCCTCAGTTGGTTAAGCATCTGACTTTGGTTCAGGTCATGATCTCAGGGTCCTGGGATCAAGCCCCACAACCAGCCCACATCCAGCCTGCACATTGGACTCTGGACTCCGTGCTCAGCAGGGAGTCTGTTTGAGGATTTTCTCTTTCTCTCTCCCACTGCTCCTCCCCCAGCTCACACTCCTCAGCATGTTCTCTCTCTCTCTCTCTCTCTCTCTCTCTCTCTCTCAAATAATTAAGACTTAAAAAAAACAAAAACAAAAACAAAGTGCCAAGGGGGATATGGAATTAGTGTTTTTCTAGAACTAAAACTCTATTGCTAAAGATTTCACACAACTAGTGGGAGGTAGGGGGTGTCACATATCTTTGGGTATTAATGCCTGGGAGAGAATAGAGAATTCCCACAATAAAATGGGGCCAGGAGGCCAGGCATAGGGGTATAAAGATAGATACAGCAGAGTGATCAAGAGACAACTGGAGATACGTGGGTTCATATTGGGTTCTGCTCTTTGACAGCCCTGTAGCCTCAAGGCATAATTATAAGCTTGCTGAAACTCAGATTTCCTCTTCTGTAAAATAGAGATCATAACACCTATCTAATAGAGCTGCTGTAAGCTCCTGGCCTCCCTAGTTCCCACAGAAATATCAAGGTGCAGGCCTGGGTAGGCATCTGTAATTAGGGATCTGAACTGGGCCTAAGCATTTGGTTTATTGATTTTCATGTACACATTCAGAGCGGCCTCACCTTGCTTCATGTTTCTTTATAATACTTAACTTCCACCTGATTCTTGTCTTCTTGTTCTGTTTATTGTTTTTCTCCTGATCTGTCTAAAATGGAAGCTCCATGAAGATAGGGGCCATATTCTTTTTTTTTTTCACTGCTGATTCCCCACCCAAAACAGTGCCTGGCACACAGTAGTTGTTTAATGAATATTTGTTGAATAAGTGAATGAAAGTCTGAAGAATGTCAATGCAGTCTTCAAAGATTCTGATACTATTCCTGCCAGATTTCTATTCGGGGAGATAAATGGTCTACTAGTGGTCAGAGGTGAAATAGTTACACCTAAAGTTTTTCAATTTGAAATTTCTATTTAGAGTTATATTTGTCCATTGCACAACCTGATCTCATAATTTTTTATGCCTAAAACATTTAGGTAAGATCATCAAAGGAAAGTACTGAATCCTACTAACAAAACAGGAACTGATTTGTACAAGAGAAAGAACACAGATTTCAGGATTTGAAAAACAGGATTTGAATTTTAGTCTGTCACTTAGTGTGACCTTGGACAAGTTTCTCAGCCTCTCTGAGCTCCAGTTTTCCTATCTATAAAATAGATATATAATACTTGTCTCCCTTGGTTGTTTTGAAAATTGGACAAATGATGTATACAACTTCCTAGCACATGGTACATACTCAAATAATGTTTTTTAAGAAGGAGTTTTGGTGTCTTGAACCTCAGCACCCATTGAAATGAAAATGTATCTACCCCATATCAAAAGCTGGCAAAGTCCACCTAAACCATTCCTGACATTCAGTTTTAAGTGGATCTTTATTATTTCTCTATAGTAAGCATACGACATATCTTATTATCAAGAAGTTTATGCCTGACATGATTTTTCAGTTGGAAGATTCAAATGGATAATTAGTAAAGACTACTCAGAAAACCTAAGTAGCATTTTCTTACCAGAAGTAAGATGTCCTTTAAAGATGGAAGCAATCAGAAGCTCAGAATTCTGAGTATCATGTTGGAATGATTTCACTGTGACCTGGGGAACTTAAACAAAAAGAAAATAGGGTGAGCTTCTTCATTTTGCATTCAGGTTACCCAAATTCCTAAAAGAGTTTCTTCACTTGTTTGGAGATGATTAAAGTATACTTTAATAGGCTTGAAAGTGGAATAAAAGGAAAGGCCTTCGAGTATGTGTGTCTTTTCATCTTTTTATTTAGTTGGGCAAAGCCTAAAGAAGGAAACACTGAAAGGACAATAAAAACTGCCTAGAGTTTGTTAAACTTCATGGTGTATCCTCTAATTTCATGAGGCTTCTAGGCAAAGAATACCAAGGAGCTTTATTTAATTCACTGACCAAAAAAATGCACAACAGGTCTCTACTTGATTCCTTCCAATAAATGATGCAATAAAGTTTAGGTTTCCTTAAGAGCCTCCCAGATACGTCACTTTTGCCTTTGCATAATCCTTGAGATACTGCTGGCGAACAGTATCTTGGCTCTATATAAGAAGCCCAATTTTGATTAGCAGACACTTTGAGGTTATAGCACAGGGGTGGAATGCTACTAATGACTTCCCTCTGCTCCTTTCCCACTGGCGAAGATCCTGGCCAGCCCTGTCTAGTCATAAAGACTGTCAGGACATGGCTAATGAAAGCTTCTGACCAGGGTGTGGTGAGCAGTCTTGGCAGCTAACCCACTTTCAGTTTGAACCCAAGAGTCCTGGAGCTTTCATACCCATTTCCTCCCTCCTGATAATTAAAAGCTTCCAGAGGTGACTTCAAGGATACTATTCTTCCAGCTGACAAAAGATATTCCTGAAAACAGTTCTAAGCTCTGAATTCCCAAGAATGCCTCAAGCTCCTATTTGTTCAGTTATTCTGATTTCAGTGTTCACATTTTTTCTTTTTGAAGAATTACTTGGGGGGGGGCAGGGAAAAATCATAACTTGAGGGAGCCTTGATCGCCACCATGATATCACGGCTTATATAATAGGCTGTGTGACCCAGATAGCTCTCTTTGAGAAAAAGATCATGGGGTTTCAATACAAAGGTTCCTATGGTCTTTGGAAACTTTTGGAAAAGGTCCATCTGGGTGCAGGCACAGGCTCAGTAGTTTTCTAAGACAATGGGTAGAGAATTTTAGAAGGTGAAAACTTAAGAAGAACCAAAAGTTCTTTCCTGTGTTTTTATTGTCTTTACAGCAAGAGGAAGATGTTGCACTGTGAATTGTGACAGATTGGAAATTCTTTCTGGCTTCTTAATGCTTCAGTAAGTCTCTTTTGTTCCCAAGTATTTGGTTCCATCAAACTCTGGGAGCAAGCTTATGCCCCAATGGTCACTAGCCAGATTCATTCATCTAAATTAGTATTTTGTAGGCTGAGGTTTATTCTTGGGGAGCCCCAGCAGGAGTCTGCATCTGAAATTTTAAGACTAGAAATATTGTATTAAAATGTACATGATTTTCAACTTGGCAAGATCTTGGTTTTATATCATATGTTGCTAGATTATTTTTGTTTTCACTTTCGTTATTTTAAAATTAACATTTTTATTTAAAAGTAGTATGTGGTGCTGTGGCTTTTAATGCAGGTTAACTCTGTTGTATAAACTACAGGTGATTATTTAGCAATTAAACTTCAGTTATTAATTTGCTTCATATAAAAATAATGTTCATATCTAACTAGGGCTTTATTAGCTCTAATAGGAGAATAAACACAATCACCCTTCAGGGTCTTTTTGTTATAGTTTCAAATCAACCAGGTGCATTAATTTAAATTAGATTAAAGCCATTTAAAAGGAGATGGTTAATTGTCAGAGAGTAATTTCCCAAAGAAACAGATATCTGAAGTGAGACAATTTATAAACAAGATTGTCAGAGAAGAAATCAAGCCAATGACAAAATTTTTAAGCATAGGACTGGAATGAAGCCATGTAGACTATATTCTTCATGGTATACTGCCTCCAAGTGGCTAGGTCATTTGTTTTAAATCATATGTAATATTTATCATTATAAAAGCAGTAACCTTAAGAGAGAAAAGTATTTTAAGAGGAAAAATGGTGAGAAAAAGAACCATCCCTAATTCTATCCCCTTAAGCCACTTGCTGTTACTATTTTATAGTATTTCCAAGTATTTTGACACAGAAAAGCATTCACAAACACAGAATGATGTACACACACTCAGAACCTTTATAACTAAAAAAAATGTTTTCTATCAGCTCTAATCATCAGTGTATTGCCTAATGTGCTAGAAAAATCTCATAATATTTTCATTATTAAATTAATATCTGTGGCCTATCTCCATAATGAGACAATTCTATCCCTGTTTGTTTCTCTCACAGCATATACCTCCTGAAGATACTCAGAAACTCAAATATCTCTCATTTGAGATATCTCTAATAAGAATTTTTATATACCATATATAAACTGGTATTGGACTTTAGAATTAGTCTTTCCAAAGATAATGTGTTTAAACAAAATTTAGAGGGAATTTAAAATAGTTTTAAACAAAAAAAGTAGTTTCCATTCTTGAACAAGACTAGAAACATATAACTACATTCTGTGCCCTATCAGATGCCAGCCTATTTTAATCAAATCTGTTCAAAAGTGCTTGGTTTTAGTCATAATGTATTTCATCTGTTTCTGAGGGATGATACCAAATCTGTCTCCTGAGTCTTCCCTTCTATGCCTATACCATGGGGCAAAGTGTGTTTTATCATTCTTTTTTTTTTTTAAAGATTTTTATTTATTTATTCATGAGACACACAGACACACACACACACACACACAGAGAGAGAGAGAGAGAGAGAGAGACCCAGGCAGAGGGAGAAGCAGGGACTTAGGCTTAATAGTAATAATAGCAATAACTAATGCTCCATGCAGGGAGCCCGATGTGGGACTCAATCCCAGGTCTCCAGGATCACACCCTGGGCTGAAGGCAGCGCTAAACCGCTGAGCCACCCGGGCTGCCCTTATTATTCTTTTTAAGTGACCTTTCATTGAGTACTGATTATGCTCCAGGTTATGTACTAGACTTTACATGCTTTCTGTCATTTAACCCTAAACAGGTAAAATATACTATTGTCCACATTTCATGGATGAAGAAACAAAGGTGTAAAAAGGATAGATGACTCAAAGAGTGAAAATTCCCATCCAGTCCTGACACTTAGCTTGTACTAGTCACTGGCTCTATTAATTAATGACCTCACTTCTGCAGCAGCATGGCCCCAGATGGGACAACTCAGTCAGCCCTGCAACCAGCTGCTCCCGTGCTAAGACAGCCATTGCTCCTCCAGGGGCTGGCCACGGTTTATTAGAGCTGCCTGGCCTTGCAGGACTCCAGCCCACACCACAGTGGGCTATAGTTGGCCTGACCCATTTAGCGCTGATTCCTAGAATCTTCCAGCCTACAGTTATTTCCTTCTACAAGTCAACTATTTTCTTTGATTTTACAAGCAAGGCACACTAATTATAGGATGCTTGAAAAGTATGGAAGAGTATGGAGAAGAAAGTACAATTTTATATTTGTTCACAAACTAGAAGCAATCATTTTTTTGTTAACAGTCTTGTGTGTATATATTTGTACCTAGTGGAAATTGTGCTCTTTACTAAATGTTGTGTCTTGGTTTTTCTTTCTTTCAATATTATGTCACGAATATTTCCTCATTTTATTAAAAATTGTTCAAAACTGTCATACTGATAGCAATTTAATATTTCATCACGTTTGTACTATATTTGTATTTCATTTGTTTGTACTATATTTGTCCTATTGAGAAACTGTATAGCTTAGTGGTTTCAAATGCCATCTTTAGATTCAGATAAGACTCAGTTCAAATCCTGGCTCTACCACTTGGAGTTGCATGGCTCTAGGTCAGTTGCTTAACCCCTCTGTAACCAGTGTCTTCATTTGTAAAATGGGATAGTAACAGCACTTCCCCCCTGAGATCTAATGGAATAGTTCATATTAAGCACTTAGTACTGTGCCTTACACAAATTAAAAGCTTAACAAGCATTAGTTATTGCTATTATTACTATTATTAGATTGTTTCCAAATTCTTACTACTATAATTAGTTTTTGGATAAATATCATTGTACATAAATCTTTTTTTCCATATCTCTCTTTATTTCCTAAGGCTAGATTTCTGTTAGTGGAATTACTGGTCTAAAGGGTATGAACATTTATAAGTCTTCTTTATTTACTTTTGCTTTTACCAGTCCTGGTGTCATGCTACCTGAAGCCTACATCTTAAAGGCTTTGACCAAAGTTGGTACAGGGATCTTTCTAGATCTTTCTTTCACTAGGTTCTAGATACAGGAGGAGTCATATTAAAAGAGACAAAGGGTATGTTTTTCAAGTTATTTTTCTTAAAACATAAACATCTCCTTAGGTTCTATCTTTCTAATCTCCTTCTTCTAATAATCTCAGCTGTTTCACAGTGTTTATGTGCTATCTCCCCAGATTAATTTGGTTCTAGGATTGGAATTCAACATTATTGGGCTAAGGGTAAGGATTTGACACTAGTCTGAGTTAGTTGGCAAAAACAGAAGAGAGTGGCCAGACCTATCAAATAGGCACCCGAAGCCCAGGGCAGGGAAAATGATATGTCAGAACAAACTCATTACCACACTAGAAAAACAAGTTAGACGATGAATCATTTCATGAGTTACAGTGTCATCCTTGTATATTAAGGATAGGAGGGTGCGCCTAGATGTATTCAAGGGATTATCTTCTTGCTTATGTTCCTCAGCTCTAAGTACTTGGTATGCACAGGGAGAAGAAGGTAAGGAAGATAAATATATGTATTGTGACCACATGTTTAAAGAAAAAGATTAAGAAGAGGAAAGAGTAAAAAAGCAGCAGCCAACCCAGGAAATTTTCCTAAGGCACATGGAATACACAGAGGAAGGGGGTCTGAAGGGGGTCTAACAAACTATGTGCACGGGCAGCTTCCAAGTCCTACTCAGTAGTTTAAGATTCTTCAAAAGTGCAACTTTGCTCTCAAGCATAGCACATGCCTATTCCTGAGTCTGAATAGTCTAGTAGACATTTGC